ACGTTAAAGGGTGTGGTTGTGGTATCGATAATTTTGCGTTGCTTAAGGTCGACTGCAAGGCCAAAATGTGTCAGGAAATCTGCCTCAATGATGGGAAATTTGACGTCGGCCTGCACAAAGACCCACTGGAAACGTCGCCGAAGACTGATGTCAAGTGTGAGCGACCGTTGGCCATAAGTGTTGATGGTGGTGCTATTGGCAGCCTGCAAGGAGAACTGCGAAGGCTAGAGATGGTGACGCCTTGGAGGCGGGATGGCACTGATCTCGGCACCAGTATCGACAAGGAAACGGAGATCGCTCGATTTGTCACTGATATAAAAGAGTCGACTGGGTCGTGACTGGCCAGCGGTAGCTGTCACCCTTACTGGCTGGCGCGGTCGTTTCCCTGTGGTGAGGCCTGCAGGTATGTGCAGGGAGGGATGCACTTGCGTGCTTTCGGACCGTAAACCCGATGATACCAGCACAGAGTTGTAAAGGGGCGCTCTCGTGATATAGAACGACGGCGAGAGGGTGACTGGTTTCTGGCTGACTGTAAACTATTTATGGCAGTGCACATGGTGCTCACTTGTGTGCACAAAAGACGTACAGTGTCTTTTAGGTCGTCATAATCGCCTCGGTGAGTACTGTTCGGCTGTCTTGATGGACCTGATGACGTGGTGGCTCTGCGTGATGAGCAACGACAGCATGACCGCTTAACACAAGAAGTGTCGCGTTCTGGACAGGAAATGGCTACTCTATCAGATCTGTCGGAAGTAGAGGTCGGTTGAATATTGGCGCATGCCGCGCCGACTGGGTAACAAGCACTGATACTGTCAGCATGATTGGCAACTTTGTCTAGAGAGGTGCTAATGTCCAGCATAGACAAAACCTGCTGCATAGGAACTGGCAATTTATCCAACCAGATTTGTCGAAAGATGTCGTCGTCGTCCATATGATGACCAGCCAGTAATGAGCGCATGTGGCGCATAAGCTGCGAAGGGGTTTGATCACCCAGTTCTCCCTGTGTGAACAACTCCCGTAGCATCCGATTGGCCGACTTGGCCACTCTCTGGATGACGGCATTCTTCAACTGGGTGTGCGAGTCGTTGGCAGGAATGGGGTCGAGGAGGTCGTCAACATCGACGGCAACGTCGAAGGGGAGACTCTGCAGCACATAAGAGTAGCGGGTGCGTTCTTTAGTAATGCGGCTCGTTGGGATAACCGCCTCAATTGGACGAAACCAAACCCGGGGGTTGCTCGGTGTAAAAGGGGGTAGTTTGAAAGAGAGGGTATTGAGGTCGACAGAGTTTGTTTTAGGATCGTTATCGGTCATAGTTAAAGAAAGTTTGCGTAGATATAGAAGAACAGGGTCATCACTTTTGTAGTGTAAAAAACAATTAAACTAAAACGCAATAATAAATACCTAAATCTAAGTGGGGGATGCTGCGTTTCTTACAAGAAAAATAACGATAGCAAATGGAGTATCAGAAAAACAATAAAAGGTAAATACTGGTACAGACTCACGAAAGATGAAGCCTTCTCCAAAATTGTTGGCCATAGGGTGAATGTTCTGAGTAAAACCCTGAGACGACGTCAGTAAATGAGGCTTGTCGCTCAGGTGCAATTACGTC